AATTGAGCACATTAACCATTTGTACCACCCAGAGGATGCTTATGTATGATTGATTTAAGAAACTGGATTGGTCAGAATGTCAAATAAAGTCTAGGAATACTGCTGTTCCCTTCCTGTGATACCTCACTTAATTACCAGGACAATTTCATTTTACAAATAAGATAGCTAAGGTGCAGATATCAAGTAACTTGCTTAAAGCTACCCAACTAGTAGGTGGCTGAAAATAACCTATAGCCACATCTCGGGCACCAAAGTCCATGCCTATAACCACTGTTGTATCCCACTTCTGGCCCCTGCTTCTAAATTTCAGGTGCTTTGGTTTTGTGACCAATCTATCATAATCTTGTTTGCTGAAAGATGACCTAATTTGCCACTATCTAACTGAATTCAAACCTCATAGCAAAGCAACATAATAGAAACACCCTTCTAATAGTGAGACTGCTTACAGCTAATGAATTGTTCAGATATGAAATTAGAATGATATTCTCACAGTGAATGAAAACTGGAAGATACATTGTACTATGTCATTGATTCCAATTACGTCTTAACCTTCAGCGTGATGATGTGACATTATACTCTTCTGTCACTGGCCCTTTCTGCACTCTTACTTTTATTTCTCTTGTTAAATATGAGCTTTGTTGTGCTTCATCGATCTGTGCAAATATTCAGCTATTTACAACTTTGATCTTCTTTGTGTAGTCTACAGGAGTAATTGGATCCTTACAGATGTGACTGAATTTTTAACATCAGTCCAAGAAGAAAAAAAGAATGGGGAATCCTATACTATGAAAGTTCCTTTCCCTCCTCCCAATGGAGAAACCTCTTTTGTTCTCTAGGTAAAGTAGAGCTTTTCTCTCATATTTGAAAGGTATGTACTAATAAGTTTGGATGTTGTAACACAAAGGATGTGGTGCCTTTAAATGAAGCCAGGCTTTAAATGAAGTCAGAGCTCTCAGTCCTCTTAGATCCCATCACTGGTCTGGGTGTTACTGTCTCATTCACAAAAATCAAGATGAGGCGACTCTCATCTGTTTTTTTAAAAATCTCTCCATTCTGAGAAAAGCACACACATATAGCCTTGGAATTCTCCTCTTCTTTCTCATCTACAAGGATAAAGGGAAGAGGGCTAGGACAGGGTTCTTATGACATGGCCTCTTGCTAGCTGGGTGACCATGGCAAATTAAGCTTTCTGGGCTTTAGTTTACTCATCTTTAAAATGGGAGCTCATAAAATAAATTACATTACACAATTACTATGAGAGCCTGTTAGGTGCACAGTGACTCCATACCATAAGCACTGGACTGTGAACAGCGGGGAAAAGATGAGGCTTTCTGCTCCCCCAAAGGTTTGAAACCTCAGTCTTATGTAGGGTCACTATGAGCGGGAACTGACTTGATGGCACTTGCAACACAAGGGTATGTTGTTGTTGTTGTTAAGTGCCATTGAGTCAGTTCTGACTCATAGTGACCCTGTATAGGGTTTCCAAGGAGTAGCTGGTTAGCATGAACCATTGACTTTGTGGTTCAAACCGACTTTGCAGTCCAGTGCATTAACTCATAGCACCACACCAGCAACACTCAAGAGGTATGTTACTTTATGAAATGATTAAAACAGGATGGCCAGACTGCGTCTCTCATACTTCGGATATATTGTCAGAAGGGACCAGTTTCTGGAGAAGGATATCATGTTTGGTAAAGTGGAGGGTCAGAGAAAAAGAGGAAGACCACCAACGGGATGGATTAGCACAGTGGCAGCATCAATGGACTGAAACATAGCAACGATGATGAGATTGGCCCAGGACCAGACAGTGTTTTGTTCTGTTGTGCAACAAGAGCAACACAATAAACATTTTAAGTATTGCATGTTTGTTAAACTAACTAAATGAAAAAGTTAAACTGTTGTTTGCTGTTGTTGTTAACTGCCTTCAAGTCTATTCGTGGTTTGCTGTGGCACTTGGCATTTTTAGATTAAATTTAGAAGGGCATCCTGTGGGTCTGAGAGGCAGAGAGAACAAGGAATAAATAAGTGGAGTTACAAGCCACAGGCACCACAAGATTCAAGAGCATCAATGTCTCCTTCTGGACAAATTCTTTTTATATTTTTTAGCGATATGAACAGAGTTAGTTCACGATTTGTTTTATCACAGCAATGTTTTTGAGATAAAAAGAAAAATATTTTAAAGATAATTATTAATTAATTAGATGAATAATTAATTCAAAGGAAAATATTTTAAAGATAATTATTAATTAATTAGATGAATAATTAATTCAAATTTATTTAAGTGAAGTAGCTAAATGTATTTGGGTGTTACCTTGATCCCTGGCTGGCTCACCAAAAATGTTACCGAGGTCTCCCAGATCTCATTCGGTAGGGTTACAGAGACACAAAATGGCTGAAAACAAAAGAATCTTTTATTTTGTTGGCCAAGCAAAGGAGCATACCGGGATTCACTCACCAAGATGACCCCCTGAGTCCTGGACCAGGGGCCTTTAATTAGGGTCTTCTAGGGTAGTAACTGGCAACTGAATAAGGAAGACCAAAGAAGAGTTGGTACATTTGAATTATGGCACTGGTGAAGAATATTGAAAGTACTACAGACTGCCAGAAGAACAAACAAACCTGTGTTGGAAGAAGTGCAGCCAGAGTGCTCCTTAGAAGCCAGGATGGGAAGACTTCATGTACTTTAAACATGTTATCAGGAGGGACCAGTCCTTGTAAAAGGACATAGTGCTTTGTAATGTAGAGGGTCAGAGGAAAAGAGAAAGACGCCCAACAAGATGAACTGATACAGTGTCTGTAACAATGTGCTCACATGACAACAATTGTGGAACCAGGTTTTGTTCTGTTGACCACAGTGTCACTATGAGTTGGAGATGCCTAACGCCTAAAGTGACTCAACACTAGTTTTCAACACATGCTCAGTCTCGAAGGGAATTGCTAAAATGAAGCTTTGCCCATGTTTGTCCAGGGTATTGATAGAGATGTGGTTTGTTGCCTTCTCCCATCAGAAAACTAGGTGGGGAACCTGCTGGTCACTTCTATACACGACTGGTGGGGCAGATAACTGGCAGTTTGATTTTAAGGAATTAGTTTGAGACAGAAAGTTAGTTGTCTATACCAAGTTTTGTGGAGAATGGGATTAAAAGATCATGAGATTTTTCCATAAAATTTTGAAGATCCCTTGTATAACACTTCAAGTATTCCCACAGAAACATGTCAGTAACACTGTACTATTAATCTATGAGAAGATATTTAGGGAAAGTTATGAATGGGTGTCTGTAAGCCATAGTTTTATTTAGGTTGTCAGATTATGGGCTTTTTGCTTCAATTCATTTTTCTTTTTTGTGCATTTATGTATTGTTTACTCCATCACTCCTCATTCTTCCCATAAAAGCCTCTGTTACTTTTAATTTCATAAAACCTGTTATGCCCAGGGGTGGATTACCTAGGAAACAAAGTAAGCATGGATTTACTTACTAATCCATGGTGGCAGTTTCTCTACAGATTAGTACATAAGCCTGTACTTACCACCACTTTACTGACCAGAATTGTCATTTTGAAAAGAGGCTTTGATTCTGTAGGAAGGTGCTGTGGGGCTAGGACAGAGAAAGATGCCAGCCATACCTAGAAGTAAGATCTTTGATGTGGTGAAAGTTTGTTATTTTTCCTTCCGGCTTGTTAGTTAGGCCCAGGCAACCTTTTGTTTACCTTGCTCATTGGATAATCTTATATTGGTCTCCATCTCAACCACCATCACAACTGCTTAAACTTTAGACATTCCCGCTGATGAATGAGCAGAGGGGAAACCTATCCAGGGTCACTATGACTTGGAACCTACTCAACAGTACAGCAACAGTGATGAATAAAATGAAAACAATACCTTAGTTCCCTCCTGCTGCTCTAATAGAAATGCCACAAGTGGCTGGTTTTAAAGAGCAGAAATTTATTTTCTCACAGTTCAGGAGATTAGAAGTACAAATTCAGAGAATGAATTTTATGTTGTCCTTTGTCTATTTTAGCATCTAGTAGCCAACGATTCTTGACGTTCTTGGTCTTATATACCCATCTGCCTCTGTCAACAGATAGCATATATTTCCCTGTTGTTTGTACATTTGTATCTACTGTACTTTTTTATAATTCAGGAGTGAATGGGTTTAGCATATACCCTATGCCCGAGATGACCTCAACTGTCCAATTAGTTATTTCACATTAAATTGTATTATGGGAGCTGATTATATTGCATAATATATAGGATGATTGTATTATATGACACTACATTATATTCACAGATATAAAACCAAACCAATTGCCTTCCAAACCTGACTTGTAGCAACTCTATAGGATAGGGTTCTAAGACAGTAATCTTTACAAAAGCAGACTGCCACATATTCTCTCGCGGATCAGCTTGTGATTCAACCTTTCCGTTAACAGTTAACAGATGAGTGCTTAACCAGTCTGCCACCAGGATTTCTTATCCACGCATATTGAGGTTAGCATTCCAGCACATATTTTAGGGGAACAGAATTCAGTCTATAAAAGCATCTCAGGCATGGTTTTCAGTTCTACCCAAACTACAACCATCATTCTGGATACTTCAGCATGCCAAGATGACCCCAACAAATATCCTGGACTCTCATGCCTTTTGTTCCCTGTATGTCTTCACATCAGCCAGTTCGACCACCCAGGACCACTCTCTGCACTGTCACCACTAGAAATTGTTCCTCTCTGAAATCGCTAATTCAGACAATCCACATTGACAATCACCTTCTCTCCCTCCAACAGAGTATGGACTCTCTGCTTGAATATCTCACAGACACCTCCAACTCTACGAGACTTAGACTCAGGTAGTCAGATGCACACTCTTGGATTTAAACTTTAATCACATTTGTCGATGGTACAAAACTGAGATTTCCTCTGCCAAGAGAAGTTTTTGCTCTGATTTGAGGCTGTGAAGACTCCTGCCAGGCTCGAGGATACGGGCATCATCAGTTCCATTTGATTCAGGACATTTGATTGACCTGAGAGATGGTTACATTCCTGAACAGGTGGCTGAGCTCAGGCTGCTTGCACACAGCCGTGTCCACATGTTGTGGGGTGATGAGCCTTCTGCAGTCCTTGTGGGCCTCATTGTCTGCCAGTTCCAGGATCCTAGCTGTCAGGTACTCAAGAATGGCAGCAAGGAAATCCGGTGTGGCGGAAGACAGGCGGTGGGCATAATGGCCCTGTTGCAAAAGGTGGTTCAGGCAGCTCTTGGGGAACCGCAGGTTAACTTGTGCACAGCAGGAGTTAGTCTGCCTCCTACGCCGATAGCAGTTACGATGTTTCCTTTTCCCAGACATAGTGTTCGGTAGGTTTTTCTTGGTTGGCCCAGCTCAATTCTCCATCTGGCCCAGGTCTCTTAAGATACTAGATCTCACTGCTGCTCACTGTGTCCCCATGCAATAGCCCCTCATTGGTCAGAGAGCACCCTTTGTGACACCTAGGTTGTGACATCTAGACTAGTCATTGGTGTCCATGTGGCTCTTCGAAGCCTAGAAAAGTCCCTGGGAAGAACCTGGTCACCCTGATGACTAGCTCCAAGCTCCCCACTCCTGTTTTTTGAGGGAAATCTTAACTTTCTACTTGATTTTAACATTGTAGAAATCAATATGAATTTCAGTGAAAACCTTTGTTTTGTCTAGAGGATACTACTACAGGTTGTCTGACTATGACCTTGCATTGTATTCAAGCTCTCTCATCCTTTTTAATGGTTAGACCACTAAGAGATGTGCACAATGGTCTATTTAGCAGCAGTTCAATTGTCCTTCCTCTCATGCTGTAACAAAGACAGTTTGTCCACATTTACATATCTACTTCAGTATTCTTGATCAATTCTTTTGTGTTTATTCTTTGAATTCACTTTTGAACTTGTTATAATATCTGCCCACTTTCTTATAAGTTAAATGGAATCTTTTTAACACATGTTCTTTTCTTATCTATGAGTATTATTATTTTACCCTGTCTGAAAACTATCTTAAACACTTTGGGAAGGAATGTTTACATGTCCAGTACAATCACCTACATAGGACAGAGAAATGGACTCATGCATGCTTCAAGCTCAGGAGTGTCGTTTATTGACTCTTAGTTGAGCTGAGAAGACCTTTTTCTGTCAAAGTGCTAAGATGTATGTTTGAGAACTATGGTGTACCTCACCCAAGCCACAATATTTTTAATCACCTCATAAATTGGACAATTAATAAAGAAGACTGTAGAATAATTGATACATGTATTGTCAGAAGAACAAAGGCATCGGTTTGGGAAGAAGTACAGCAAGAATGCTCCTTAAACATAAAGATATAGAGACTTTATCTCTCATTCTTTGGACATATTATCAGAAGGAATGAGTCCCTAGAGAAGGACATCATGCATGATAAAGTGGAGGGTCAGCAACAAAGTGGAAGATCCCCAACAAGATGGATTGACAGAGTGGCAGCAACAATGGGCTCAAGCTTAATAAAAATGGTAAGCATGGCACAGGAGCAAAGTGTTTTGTTCTGTTGTGCACAGGGTGGTTATGCGTTGGCACCAACTTGAGGGCACCTAACAACAACTGACATATTGCATTAGACAAATCTGCTACACAAGACCTTTTTAAAGTGTTGAAGAGCAAAGATGTCAGCTTGAGGACTAAGATGCACCTGACCCAAGCCATGGTGTTTTCAATAACCTTATGCATGCAAAAGCTGGACAGTGAATAAGGAAGACCATAGAAGAACTGATGCTTTTGAGTTATGGTGTTGGAAGAGAATATTGAAAGTGCCATGGGCTGCCAAAAAAAACACCACAATAATAGATCTGTTTCGGAAGAAGTGCAACCAGCGTGCTCCTTGGAGGCCAAGATGGCCAAACTTCATCTCTCATACTTTGGACATATTGTCAGGAGGGACCAGTCACTGGAGAAGGATATCATGTTTGGTAAGGTGGAGGGTCAGAGAAAAAGAGGGAGACCCCCAACGAGATGGATTGGCCAAGTGGCAGCATCAATAGACTCAAGCATGGCAACAATAGTGAGGTTGGCGCAGGATCGGGCAGTGTTTCGTTCTGCTGTGTATAAGGTCACTATGGGTCGGTACTGACTCGATGGCACCTAACAACAACAACAACAACAACAACAACAACTGAAGTTCAAAGCACCAATAGCACTTATTCAACACTCTGTTTTCCCATTTTTAATTTAACTTTCTACTAATTTTGTGTTTCCATTTTGTTTGGGGGGGTACATTTAAAGCCAATAAGCTATTCGAAATTGTTAAAAATATTTTTTCATGGTCTAGCCATTGGAGAGCTCTGTAAATGGACTAATGGTTTATAGAGTTCTAGTTTCTCAAGTTGAGAAACAGCAGAAGAACTTGGCTTGTCAGTCTTTTGTTTGTTTGTCCATTTTTCAGCTCAAATCAATTAAGAATTTTATGCCCTCCTGAAGTGGAACAGCTCTTTGAAACTGAACAGATGAGATTTTCTGTTTCTCTGTTTATACTTGACTTGTAACTATAAGCTCTGTTTCTCTCTGTCTGCATGTCTGTGGGCCCATACTTCAGAAACATCTTCACCTCTTTGTGTGTGCTACATCTTTCTACTTTTAGAAGATATTAATATTTAGAGTATAAATTCTTTTAAAGAATATCTGCAATGATTAGCATTTGTTGTTGTTGTTAGATGCCACTAAGTCAATGTTGACTCATAGTGACCCTACATACTACAGAATGAGACACTGTCCTGGTCCCACAACATCCTTTGAATGTTTCTTATGTTTGAGCTCAGTGCTGTAGTCACTTAATAACTTATGAGGTAAACAAATGTTTATATAAAATTGACTTTCCCTTAAATTTCCTGAAAATAAAGAAACTGAACTACTAATATGTTAAATGTGTTAAAACAAGAATATTATCTGAGACATCAACACAGAATCATTTTAAGATTTCAAAGTCACATAACTTAAACTCTTGGAATGCAAAATGAGTTTATTATTTACAAATTACTGAAAAATAATGTTTTCTAAGATTTTCAGGAGTAAATATAACACAAATACACATTTTCTTTTATTTGGGTATATTCTTCCTAAACCTAGGTAAATTAATCACATAAACTAGCATTATTTCTACTTACAGTTTAACATTATGAAACACATTGCATTGTTATGATGAAATAGTATTTTCATAGTATTAACATTTTTTAAAGTATTCAAATCATTGTAATATTGATCTGGTAAAACAGATCTGGTAGGTTATGAATTTGGGCTGTTAACCCAAGATCAGTGGATCAAATCCACAAGAAGTGGTTGTCTGCTCCCATAGAGATTTAGTCTTGGGAACGCTAAGGAGCAGCTCTAGCCCATCCTGTAGAGTTGCTATGAGTCAGAACTAACTCATTGACAGTGGATTGGTTGGGTATGATAATTTTGTCTGATTTTTGAGGAATGGCCAGACAATTTTCTGTTGTTGCTGTAGCATCATAATATATAACAGTTCTGATTTATCAACCTCTTCACAATCACTTGTTCTTTTTTGCTTTTTGGATTATAACCATCCTAGTAGGTGTGACATGATACATCTTTGAAGTTTTGATTTTCACTTCTTGAATGACAAATGTGATTGAGCACTTTTTCATGTACTTGTTGGTCCTTTGTATACATTCTATCCAAGAAATGTCTATCCAAGCTCTTTACCTATTTTAAAAATAGAGCTATTTGTCATTTTGCTGTCGAGTGCCAAGGTCTTCAGTCTTAAATTGATCAAACATACAATCAAGATGTGCTGATAATTATTGGTGATCAGAATGCAAAGGTTGGGAACAAAGAGGAAGGATCAGTAGCAGATAAATATGGCCTTGGTGATAGAAACAATACTGTAGATCACATGATAGAATTTTGCAAGTCTATTGACTGTTTCATTGCAAATACCTTTTATAACAACAAAAAAATCAACTGTAAACATGGACCTTACCAGTTGGAATACACAGAAATTAAATGACTACATCTGTGGGAAGAGACAGAGGAAAACCTCTGTATCATCAGTCAAAACAAGGCCAGAAGCAGACTGTGGAACAGACCACCAATTACTCATATGCAGTTCAGGCTGAAGCTGAAGAAAATTAAAACAAGTCCACAAGAGCCAAAATATGAACTTGATGCATTAGACACTAATGACCAAAATCAGAAGAGTTGTGGGATGACATCAAGAACATCAAACAGGAAGAAAGTCATAGGCCATTAAGAAGACAAGAAAGACGGAAAAGACAAAGAAGACAAAGTCAAGTATTATAACAAAGTGTGCAAAGATCCAGAGTTAGAAAACCACAGGGAGGAACACACTCAACATTTCCCAAGCTGAAAGAATTAAAGAAAAAATGCAAACTGTGACTTGAAATATTGAAGGATTCTATGGACAAATTACTTATTGATGAAGTTCAGATCCCACAGCCTTCCATATTGATTGCACTTCATTCTCACTTAATATCATGAGGGACCAGTCCTTGGAGAACAACATCATGGTGGAGGGTCAGTAAAAAAGAGGAAGACCTCCAATGAGATGCATTGGCACAGTGGCAGCAGTAATGGGTATTCCAGACCACTTACTTGTGCTGATGAGGAGGCTGTACATAGACCAAGAAGTAGTCATTCAAATAGAACACCTGAATGGTTTAAAATCAGGAAATTTGTGCATCATGGTTGTGTTCTTTCACCATACTTATTCAATCTGTATGCTGAGCAAATGATTCGAGAAGCTGGTTTATATGAAGAATGTGGCATCAGGACTGTAGGAACACTTATGAACAATCTGCGATAATGCAGATGATACAACCTTGCTTGATGAAAATGAAGAGGACTCAAAATACTTACTGATGAAGATCAAAGACCTCAGCTTTCAGTATGGATTTCACCTTAATGTAAATAAAACAAAAATCCTCACCAATGGACCAGTAAATAACATCATAATAAATGGATAAAATATTGAGGTTATTAAGGACTTCTTTTGCTTGGATCCTCTATCAACACTCATGAATGCATTAGTCTAGACATAAAATGACATATTTCATTAGGCAAATCTGCTGTGTAAGACGACTTCAAAAATGTTTAAGAGCAAAGATGTTAGTTTGAGAACTAAGGTTGGCCAGACCCAATCCTTGGTATTGTTAGTAGCCTATATATTTACAGGCACGATTTCAATCATCTGGTGGCAGATGACCACTAAAGAAGGAATCCTCAGAGGGAGATAATTTACTATATTTGTTCCAGATCTATGGGAATTGTCTATGTCTAGGTCATCTAGGTATATTAGGCTGAGTTCCTCAGAGTGAAAAA